AGGAAGGACCAACCAAGCAGAAAGTCCTGAACTTTCCTTGTCTGCTAGATTGTTAAAAAACAAACACATAAACAGATAGAAAAAAATTCGAAAGAGATTGAATATGAAAATATATAAAGGGTTCAGGGGAAATAATTCTATCACATTTTACTGATTTTCCTGTTTTGTGTGTGGAAGGTAGATACATCTTGAAGAATGTATGTAAATTACTATGACTATTTGCAGTGGCTATTCCAGATGTGGAATCTTTATTGAACCAAACTGATATAACTTTCTCATTCACAAATACTGGTCTGGCAAATACTGTTTTCTCTAGAGCAGTTTACAAGGACCAACAGAAAAAGTTAGATTTCATCTTTCAGTATCAGCAGTATACTTTCACTGCCTTGTCTTACAGTTAAGAGAGCTATCCTTTTTTCTATCATAACATAGAATGATAGACCTTGACTATGTTGACATAGCGTAGAATATCACACTGGTCCATGTCCATCATGGTGATTGGACTCGAACCACCGATCATTCAAGGCAGAAGTAGCATTAGATGCCTTAGTAGGATACATGTTTGAGAATAGAAGATAAACTTCATAAAAATATAGGATTTACTACCTTGGTAAAATTTTTATCAGTTCAGTGCTTCCAACGATATGGTAAATTACTGAACCCTGTGATACCTATCACTAAGAAAGAGGTACAATGCTTATTGGACCTTTTTTTATGTTTTAGAAATAACTTTTGCCCCATTTGCATGTTTGCTCCTATGGATTAACTGAGCACATTTTTTTTTTTTTTTGAGTTGGAGTCTCACTCTGTTGCCCAGACTGGAGTGCAGTGGCCACTCCCGGCCACCGCAGCCTTGCCTGCTGGGCTCCGGCGATCCTTCCGCCTCAGCCTTCCAAGTAGCCGGAATTACAGGCATGCGCTACCACGCCCGGCTTATTTTTTTGATTTATTGTAGAGATGAGGTCTCGCTGCCCAGGCAGGTCTCAAACCCGCGGGTTCAGGCAATCCACTCACCTCAGCCTCCCCAAGGCGTGAGATTACAGGCTGAGCCACCGAGCCCGGCTATGAGCACATTTTTATATGTTACTCTTATGCATTAACTGAGCCACCAGCTGCCAGAGTAGAACCTAGAGCAAGAAAAGGCTTTGGAGGCTTTTCTAGGCTGCAGTGCAAAAACTCTTCATCTTGTTATTGTACATAAGATCCTACAGTATTTGGAGTATGTATGACAATTTGGAATTGCATTTGGAATGCTGTGGCAAATCACAATAGTAGAGTCAAATTGTAAATCCCTTGAGTTTTGGAGCAAAGCCCTGCTCTCTACTGAAGTTTGCTATATTCTTCTTTGAGAAACAGCTCCTGTGTGTTTTTATATTCTGATAATTCATAAAACTATATACATATGATTTGTGTACTTTTCTGTATATATGGTATATATTTTTATTTTTATTTTTGAGTCAAGGTCTCACTCTGTCACTCAGGCTGAATTGCAGTGGCAAGATCACAGCTCACCACAGTCTCGACTTCCTAGGCTCAGGCAATTCTTTCACCTTAGCATCCCAGCTAGCTGAGACTACAGGTGAGCACCACCATGCCTGGTTAATTTTTTGATTTTTTTTGGGGGGGGAAGAGATGTGTTCTTGCTATGTTGCCCAGACTGTTCTTGAATTCCTGGGCTCAAGCAATCCTCCCACCTCGACTCCCAAAGCACTGGGATGTACAGGTGTGAGCCACCAAGCCTGGCCATGATATATATGTATGTAAATGTGTGTGTGTGTGTGTGTGTGTGTGTGTGTGTGTGTGTGTGTGTGTATGTTTTGTTTTAAAAATTCACATACAAAAATAAAGGTCCAATGTAGCAAATATTATTACAAATGAAGAACAAGTTGGGGAGAATTTCCCTGACTTTTAAAATAAAGTCGAGAACTGCCGTCACCTACCCAATGGGCCAGGCTGGACCTCAACGCCTTGTGCGCTGCTGTGTGTCCTGGCATCATCACGATGACGAGGACGATGTGGATTTGAAGAACCTTGCCATGAACTTTACTGTCTGCTCTGATGCTAAGAGGAAGCAAACAGGCTAACAGAACCATGAAACTTCTGAACCCTGTGGGTCCGCATATTCCTTCAAGATTTCAAGAAAGCCAAGCCTAAGGATGGCTGAGGGAGAGGCCATGCGGTGTAGACAGGTCCTTTCTGCAGTTGCACAGATGGCCATGGACAAAAACAGCCCTACTCGGGTGACTTTGAGTCCTGGTACCCGAACGGGCAGGTGGATCAATCAGTGATGGGCCTGGATCCGGCTGCGGGAGAGTCCGGAGGAGCCCTGGTCGGGGGCTGCAGGTGAGCCCAGGCTGGCGGTCACTCAGCACCGGTACTTGGACCTCTCAGGGCCTCCTAACCCTGCTGCCTGCAATACCAGACCTACACGGTTTTATTTACTGTTTGTACCATTCCTTCCAAGAGAATGAACAGATACCCAAGCCCCTCTCACAAAAATGACTGAAAATCGTATCCAGAAATTTGGAATGGGTGGAGGCTGGCTGCCCAGGAGCTAAGTGGGCCTGAGGCTCGGAGAGACAGACCCGGCACAAGGAGACTGAAGTTTTCCAGTAAGATTCGGCGTCAGTGCGGAGGCAGGGGTATCTCCATCTGAAGATTGGGGAGAAATATCCCAAAGTCCCAGTACACATGGGCTTGCTGTCTGTAGGGAGGGAATGGCCATGCATACTAAGGACCGGGAACCTGTTCTTCATTGTTGCTGTTTTCAGAACTCTTCTTGTAGCCATTTAGGTCAGTGAATCGCAAACTTGTAGTCTCATGACTTTTTTACACGCTTAAAAATGACTGAGGATCTCAAAGAACTATTCATATGGGTTTTATCCCTCAGTATTTTCTGTCTTAGAAATTAAAATGGAGAAAGCTTAAAATATCAATTTATTTAATACTGTAATGAACTCCTTACATGGTAACATTTTATGGGGAAAAAAAAACCTATGTTTTACACAACAGAAGAGTGGCATTTTATTACATTTTTACAAATCTCTTAAACGCATTCCCCTAAAAAAATAAATTAAATTAAGTTTTATTAATTAAAACAGTTTGGGTGCTAAAATAGACAAATAAATCAGTTAAGTAGAATATTGGACCAGGCATCAGATGCAAGAGCATGTGGGAATTAATATATGACACAGAAGGCAATATAAGTTAGTAGGAAAAAACTAATAAGTAAACAAATTGTGACAATTGGTTTTCCACAATGGGAAAAAATATAAAAACAGATTCCAACTTCACTAATGAGGAAAAATGAGTTCTATCTGACCAGAATCCTAGATGCGGAAAAAATTTTTTTTTAATTTTAGAAGAAAATGTAGAACACACCTTTTGACCTCAGTATAGGTAAATTTCAAAAAGAATACTTCAAATAAGCACAAACCATAGAGGAAATGATTGATATATTTAGCTACCTCAAAATTAGTGGATATCTTCAAAATTAATAGGTAACATTGAAATGGCTAAACTTCCCAAAACTTAAATTAAAAAATAAAAGATGAACTGGGAAAAAGTATTTACTATGTAGATAAAAGAATTATCATTATAAAGATTTTACAATTAATAAGGAATAGACAACTATTCCCAACTGAAAAATGGGAAAAGGATATCAAAAAGTCACTCATAAAATAGGAAACCCAAATATATAATAAGCATATAAAGACATATTAAATCTCACTAATAACCAGGGAAATGCAAATTAAAATAATAAGATATCATTTTAATCTATCAGACTGGAAAAATAATAAATTCTAACAATATCAAGTATTGCTGTAGATATGAAGCAATGATAACTCTCATTAAGTGCTGGTGAGAATGTAAATTGGTATAGGCATTTTGTGGAGCAAGTTGGCCACAACTACTAAAGTTGAAAATGCAATCCTGTAATTCCTTCTAGTTATTTACCTTAGAGAAATATGTGCACAAGTAGATGTATCTAAAAATATCCTTTGCAGCACTATTTTGATGTCAAAATAATGAAAATAATCTAAATGTCCATCAATAGAATAATATTTTTAAATTATGGAATTTTCATACTACAGAATACCATATTGCAGTTAAAAAGCATAAAATATATTTCTTTACATACATGAATTAGATTTTAAAGTTGAGTAGATAAAGGCAAACTGAAGAAGAATATAAGTACTATCCAGGGTTTTAAAAATACATACACAGTCGGGCTCAGTGGCTCAGCCTGTAATCCCGCGCCTTTGGGAGGCTGAGGTAAGTGGATTGCCTGAGCCCGTGGGTTCGAGACCCGCCTGGGCAGCGTACCTCATCTCTAAAACAAATCAAAAAATTAGCTGGGCGTGGTAGTGCGCGCCTGTAAGTCCGGCTACTTGGAAGACTGAGGCGGAAGGATCGCCAGAGCCCAGCAGGTCAAGGTTGTGGTGGCCGGGAACGGCCACTGCATTACAGTCTGGGAGACAGAGTGAGACTCCAACTCAAAAAAAAAAAAAAAAAAAAATACACAATGTTGTACCAGAAATGAAAAAAAAGTACATACACAAAATGTTAACAATCATTTCTGGGTATTGGGACACAGAAGTTATCATTTTCTATATTTTTCTGTAATTACTTTTTTCTAAAATAAATACAAAAAGAAAATATAGGGAGCAAGTTAATTGTTTTGAGTGACATACTCAGGTCAGGTTAGATAAGAACTTAACATTGCATACTGCATTTACCAACTAGGAAGTCAGTAATAACAAATATTTCTTAAAAATCTACTAAGTGGAAGGCATTTTAGCATGTCACAGAATGGAGAAGTCTAGTATAAGCCTAAAGCCAAGATATAACTTTCCTGATTTTGATGCTGCAGTTTTTACTTATATGATAATGATGGTTGTGGTGGTGGTGATGATAAAAGCGTCAATAAACACTGTTTCAACCACATATATATAAATCTTAAATGTCCTGTAACAACTAATTACAACATTTTTGCTTAGGTTGGGTTTTTGGATCGGCAGAGAACATTGGCCTTGCTGGAAACATTCTATGACCAAAGTTCACAAATACTTAGAAGTTTACTCCGAAACCCCAGACAATGTAAGTGCAGGTGAGAAGGAGTATGCTCAAGATGGAGTGTCACAATGCTCTGATATGTACTGACTGGATAACACAAGAGTACCCTGCCATCATGGAATCCCTTCACACAACATCTCTTTTAGATCATGATAGCTATATCTAGTGGTTTTTTCTCCCACAGAATTCACTCTTCATCACAACTAGATGTATTTTTCACCATAGTGCAATACTCAAAATTGTCATGTCAGAATTCAGCTAGAGCTCAATTTTAAATTCATTCAAATGAAAAGGTGCTTTAGTGACAACCTGAATGTTTTGGAAATTAAGTTGGTAATGATAATCCATTTTTAAATTTTTGAGTTGGAATCTCACTCTGTTGCCCAGGCAGGGGTACAGTCAATGCCACCTCGACCTGCTGGTCTCAGGCAATCCTTCTGCCTCTGCCTTCCAAGTAGCTGGAACTACAAGCATGCGCCACGATGCCCAGCTAATTTTTTGATTTATTGTAGAGATGAAGTCTCTCCAAACCCGTGGCCTCAGGCAATCCTCGAATTCTCGAACCCGTGGCCTCAGGTAATCCTCTCACCTCGGCCTCCCAAAGTGCTGGGAATATAGGTGCGAGCCACCATGCCAGGCCATAATCAATTTTTAATTTCCTACTTGGAATTCTAAGATTTATAAGAACAATATTTTCTTTTCTACACATTTTTCCTTTTACATCTTTACAGTAAAGTATCCTCTACATATTATTAGCAAAACAAATGTAGTTATGGGTTTGATTTATTTTATTTTATTTTTTCAGACATGAGTCTTGCTATGTTGCCCAGGCTGGCCTCAAGCTTCTGGATTCCAGTGAACCTCCTGCCTCAGTCTCCCGAGTAGCTGGGACTATAAACATGTGCCACTGTGTCCAGCTTATTTTTATTGTTTATTTATTTACTTATTTATTTTTATTCAATTTTGAGTTGAAGTCTCACTCTGCTGCTCCGGATGGAGTGCAGTGGCAAAATCATGGCTTGCCACAGACTCAACCTCCTGGACTCATGTGATCTTTCTACCTCAGCCTCCCAAAGTAGCTGGGACCACAAGCATGTACCACTATGCCTGGTTAATTTTTAAATTTTTTCTGTAGTGACAAGGTATTGCTATGCTGCCTAGGCTGCTGTTGAACTCTTGAGCTCAAGTAATTCTCTCATCTCAGGTTTCCAAAGTGCTGGTATTACAGACGTGAGGCACCATGCCTGGCCTTATTTTTATTTTTTAAAGAGAAAGCTTTTTAATGACTGAGTTTTCCAAAGTATGTAAATATTTTGTGTGAAGATTTATTACTTAGACAATTTAAAATCTGTGAAGGGGAGATCCTTGAAAATTGTGAGATTCACAATCTTGTAGTTGACAACTACTAAATGTTTTTGGGGGAAATGAGGACAGTTTTGTGGCAGGAATCCCACGCTCTTTAGTGCTGGACACCAGGGTTTTGTTGTTAATTTTCAACAGTGGGATTTGAAATGATTAACATAAAATTTAGACCCAAAGGAATTGTATAGCCCTTATAAAAATATTGTGATATATTTCTCCTCATATTAAAACTATTTATTTTTGCTACCTTAAAAAAAAAACTAGAATTCTGTGAATACTATCCAGTCTTTTCCTAGAATTCTGATCTAGGTATCCACATAAGTTGTAAATTGAGTAATAAAGACAAAAGAGAGGCAAAGAGAAAGGGAGAGAAAAATGAATGTTGGAAAAACATAGCCCCAGTGAAAGATTATCATGGATAAAGACTTGCTTTTATTTTTATGTTGCAGATATTGAAAAGGTATTTGAGATGGAAGATGTGTCCCCCTCCCCATCCCTATGCTATGCTTATTGTGGGAGGACTACAAAGGTAGAGGACAAATTATTTTTGCTTTGGCAGTGTAAGCAACACTCAAAGTAGCAGAAGAAGAATCATGTTCACTTCCAAAATCACATCGTTTAGGAAGGAATGATCTCTAATTCACAGTAGTGAACACTTTGTATGTTCCTTTGGGTATTTTTTTTTTTTTTTTTTGAGTTGGAGTCTCACTCTGTCGCCCAGACTGGAGTGCAGTGGCCGCTCCCGGCCACCGCAGCCTCGACCTGCTGGGCTCCGGCGATCCTTCCGCCTCAGCCTTCCAATAGCTGGAACTACAGGCGCGCGCTACCACACCCAGCTAATTTTTGCTTTATTGTAGAGATGAGGTCTCGCCAAGTTGCCCAGGCAGGTCTCGAACCCGCGGGCTCAGGCAATCCACTCACCTCAACCTCCCAAAGGCGCGGGATTACAGGCTGAACCACCGAGCCCGGCTGTTTTTTATTTTTTATTGTGTTGCAGCCAAAAGTGGCTGATATCAATTTAGAGTAATAGGTCTATATTACATTCACTGTGCTCAATGTTTGTTTCTTTCTTCCTCTTCTTTTGTAATAGTTTAATAACTCTAATTCTGCATTATAAGATCAATTGTTGAGGTAAACATTTTGTTTTCTGCATTAGGGCCATTCATTGAATTTGAAGAGACAGACTTACCTGAGTTCTGGGGAGACATGGATAATCAGAAACACATATATGAAAACTTTGACAAGATACTCTCAGAGATGAACACATTACTTTCTGAAAAACATGCTAGCAAAACCCAAAGTAAATTATTAGAAAATCCAGGAGATCAATTTAAACATGATGAACAGAGAAAATCAACCCCACCAGAAGAGCAGAAAGGGAAAACTGAAGAGCAAGAACAAGGCGGAGAACCAACTGCAGAACAAGAAATGTACAGAGAACCAGTAATAGAACAAGAAACCCACTCCAGGTCAACTCCAGAACAAGGGCCAAGTAGAAAGCTAATCACAGAACAAGAAGCACACATAGGGTCAACCACAGAACAAGGACAGCTCAAAGGCTCAACAGCAGGACAAGGACTACACAGAGTGTCAACTTCAGAACAAGGACCACGCAGAGAGTCAACTACAGAACAAAGGTCACACAGAGAGTCAATTGCAGAACAAGACTCACACAGAGAGCCAATTGCAGAACAAGAACAGCACAATGGGTCAACAACAGGACAAGAACCACGCAGAGTGTCTGCTTCAGCACAAGGACCACACGAAGAGTCAACTTCAGAACGAGGACCACGCAGAGAGTCAACTGCAGAACGAGGACCACGCAGAGAGTCAACTGCAGAAAGAGGACCACGCAGAGAGTCAACTGCAGAACAAGGGTCACGTAGAGAGTCATCTGCAGAACAAGGACCACGCAGAGAGTCAACTGCAGAACGAGGACCACGCAGAGAGTCAACTGCAGAACGAGGACCACGCAGAGAGTCAACTGCAGAACTAGGACCACGCAGAGAGTCAGCTGCAGAACTAGGACCACGCAGAGAGTCAACTGCAGAACTAGGACCACGCAAAGAGTCATCTGCAGAACAAGGACCACGCAGAGACTCATCTGCAGAACGAGGACAGCACAGAGAGTCATCTGCAGAACGAGGACAGCGCAAAGGGTCAACAGTAGGACAAGAATCACACAAAATGTCAACTTTAGAACATGGATCACATGGAGAGTCAGTAACAGAAGAACCATACCAAGAGTCAGAACAAAGATCTCATGAGGAGACAATTTTAGAAGAACAAGAAGACATAGACATAGACTCAACTTCACATTCAAGAAAAAATGGTATCTTAAAAAATACAAAATCTAGAAAGTCTATACCCTCTGAGTACACTGAAATCCCTCTACAGGAAGAGAAGTCTTGGAGGCAAACGTATGAAGAGGAACTATCTATGCGTTCTATACTGCAAGAAGAAGTTCCAAAATCAAGTAGAAAAGATTACCTTTCAGGTAGCAATGTAGTCCTCCTTTATCAACTCCCTGTTTTGTGGAGTAGTTTTTAAAGTCTTTTCAGAAAATACTCATTTAATCAGGATTTTTTTCTGGCATATCAAGTCATGCAAACCTCAGGCATGTTTTGGTAGGCAACATGAGTCTAGTCCTTGAATAATCAATTAAATTAATTACATTCATCAATTAAATGCAAACCAGAATATTTATATTGTCAATTTACCTAGAATTTCCACTGCACTAGAAGTTCATTTGTGAGGAAGAAATCTGGTTACGTTACATATAAAAGTGTCTTAATTGTGTTTCTGAAAAAGCAGTAGAATCCCGTTTTTTCCTTAAACGTGTCTGGTATTAGAAACAACTTAAAAAATTTTTTTAAATTTCAACCTTAAAATGATTCTTGCTTTTTTCTGTTATATATAAAATATATGTTCTAGAGGAGTTTCTGAAAGTCATATTTAAGACAGAATGCATTCTGCATTTCAAATATTTATTCACATCCCATTGTTCAGAATTTAAGACAGAATGCATTCTGCATTTCAAATATTTATTCACCTCCCATTGTTCAGAATTTAGGCAGACAGTAGTCTCCCCTTATCCATGGCTTTACTTTCCGTAGTTTTCATTAAGTACAGTTAATCATAGTCAGAAAATATTACATGGAGAGTTCCAGAAATAAACAATTCATAAGTTTTAAATTGTTCACTATTCTGAGTAGCATGATGAAAGTATGCACCTTTTGTTCAGTGTATCCATGCTGTCTATGCTACCTGCTCATTAGTCACTTAATAGCCATTTGGATTATCAGATTGACTGTAGTAGTATTGTAGTGCTTGTGTTCAAGTAACCCTTATGTTCAAGTAACCCTACAGTAAGAACAAATCTACCCATGAAATTGTGCAGAAGGAAAAGGAACTTATGCTAGTTTTGCTGTCACTCTCCAAATTGTGAAAGTATATGTAGGGTTTGGTACCAGCTGCAGTTTCAAGCATCCATTGGAGGTCTTGGAATGTATCCTCCCACAGATAAAGAGGGGACTACTATATAGTAACACATAGCTGTGAGGAAGGCTGGAAAGTGTAACCCTCATTTTGCATGACCAAATTAGGATACAATAGATAGCTTTTGCCATAGAGCTGCTTTCAGCAAAGTTATTAGGTGATTTCACTGTAGACTATTATGGCACAACATATATAGAAAAGTACTTAGAGTTTTTGGTGTTCTATATATAAAAGGCATTTTCATCAATCATCAACTTTAGAATATCTGATAGAATAATGTCCAATTTATAGGCATGTTCTTTTGTACCTTTTAGAAACAGCAAAAAAGGAAGTTCAGAAAAACAAATCCTATGAACCCAAGTCCCCCAAAATAGAAGGAAAGTTATGGTCAGGTAACTCCTCATTTAATTTTCCTTTCATTTATAACCCTAGAACAAAAACTTCAAAAGGAAAGTTAGATTATCTGTGTTATTAAATGTGTTTTTACAGGTGAATTTTTGACTTGTAACTGGAAAATGAAGTATGTCAAATCTGAAGATGAGGAACAGACAGACTTAATCTATGGTAACCCCAGATTTACAGGTACATATTGACAATGAAACTAGGAAGGATAGATGGCAGTCCAATATATGGATTTAATTTACTGTGATACTCCACAATAAGGAGTGATTTTAGCTAAGACACAATGGGAGTGTGATCCTTGCATTATTTTGTTCCTGGGCTGATGAATCTTTTTTTTTTTTGAGTTGGGGTCTTATTCTGTCACCAAGGCTGAAGTGCAGTGGCACAAATCACAGACAGCTTACTGCAGCCTTGACCTCCCGGGCTTAGGTGATCCTTCTGCCTTAGCCTCCCGAATAGCTGGGACTACAGGTGCATGTCACTATGCCTGACTAATTTTTTTTAAATTTTTTTGTGGAGACACGGTTTCACTATGTTGCCTAGGCTGGTCTTGAACTCCTGGGCTCAATCAATCCTCTCACCTTGGCCTCCCAAAGCGCTGGGATTCCAGGTGTGAGCCATAATGCCTGACTGATGGATCTAAATATATACAGGATGGATATATCAAGATAAATATTTTCAATGTACTATTGATGGCAGCATATGCTATTGATGAGTGCTCTTTAGCTTTAAAGCTTATGGAATTAGCTAACATTAAAAAAAATCATTACATAATCCTACAACTGCTTTGAAACTATGATCCAAACAGTCAAAGGGAATTAGATACTAGAACTCAGTAGAAATCATTTCAGCTATTCCTCTCCTTGGTAAGTCCCTATCCATACATGTGAGATAGGTAAGAATCTACCTTGTTTTGAAGACTCACAAATAAAGATCTACTTAACAGAGCAATGAGTAGCTTTTAGCTTTCAGATAAACCATGTATTTAGCAGTGATTATTCCAAAAAGTACTCATATTTTGCTAAAATGCTATTATATCATTTTGCCTTTCACATTAACAAATAGTAGAACTAATAAGATCAAATTTATTTTCTTCCTGTCTGCAAACATTGTTCTTGCTTAAGTTTTGGTCAGACAACAAACTTTCCATCCTCAAAGTATTCTGGTGAAAATGCATGGATGACATTGATCAAGCTCATGTGATCTAGTTCAAGTTCTTCTTCTTCCCAGTCTTCTTTATTTCAATTTTTCTTTACCATTGTATGTAAACATTATATGAATAATCATTTTTAAGTTGCATCAAATCTCATAGAGAAAGTATAAGGGCATGAATGATTGTGTCAGTGAGTAAATAACTCACTTTGCTGACATTTTATGAAATATGCTTGATACTGTAATATTGAGCTTCAAAATAAATATATTAGTCAAGACTCTTGAGGGCAGGGGTTGTGATGGTGGTATTTAGTAGTTTATTTGACTGGAAAGTCCAGAGTACAGCTGGCTTCAGGCACAGTTGGTTCCAAGGGCCCAACAATAGCAGTAGGACACTGTCTGTCTGCCTCTCAGCCCTATTCTTCTCTATGTCACTTTCAATTTGAGGTGGTTTTCTCCGTAGTGTGGCAAAAATGGCCATGAGAGCATCTTTGAACTTATATCCTGCTAGTTCAACAAACAGAGTACGAAAAGAATGATTCTTCCCTAATAATTTTCCCAAAAGTTCTGAGGTTAATTCTCATTGGCCTATAATAGATTACCTTACTGTCTTATCTATATCATTAGCCAGATCTATATCACATGACTATTTATAGAGCAAGGGTAAGGAGGCTCCGTATGACCTGACTCATCCGAACTGACAGTGGAGGAGAGATGTTTTTCCAAAGAGTAAAGGTGAATCCTGTCCTTATGAAGGAAGTATAGATTCCTGATGGGCAAAAATAGCAGATATATATTACAATAAGCACTTATTTATTTTCCCTAAATTTTAAAGAACTATTCACTTTACTGTTTGGTGTATATTTCCTACTTGACAGATCTACACTCAACTATCAGAAATATTCAGTCTAACAAGAAAGTAAAAGGTAGAACTTCTTTCAATGGAGTTTCCTTCAATCTGCTCCAGTTTGTGCAACTCCTGGAGACGTTTGTTGGTGAAGATGCTCCCTTGAGTGTCAGTGAGAGCCTCACCTCATTTTTTAGGAGGGGCTATGTTGAAACAAAAGAAGAAAAAATGAATGCCTTAGAACAGGTAGGTAATATTATTTGTCAATGATACAAGTGAAATCACTATTATAAGTGACTTCAACCTCAGTTGTTCCTGATATGACTCTTCTTAAAAAATTTACAACCAAATTTATCACGTTATTTCAACAAGCTTAACCATTAATGATTATATTCTATTGTCAAATGTTCTAAGAGCACATTCCAGAGAACTCATTCACCTAATTATAACATGATTGCTCCTGAAGACGGTTTATCGTACAGCCTTGTTTTTCCTCCTCTGAAGCTTACAGAGCAGATATGAATATGTACAAAGATATGTCTGTGCACTATCTGTCTGCTGTGTGAGTACATTTACAAGTACACATACCTAGGGTATGGTTATAGCGTGATTATATATTTGTATTCATGGGAATCCAGACACTTTGTATTTCCTAAGAACTTACTATTTACTTGGGCGATACGTAAAGGCATACACTAAAATTAGTCTATATAAAAAACTTATTCTAAAAAAAAAAACTTATTCTTTTATGTGAAGTGTGTAAATTAGTTTCACTAAGCTTATTCAGTAATCTCATCAGCCATATGAGTCTTCTCAACATGATTTTAGACAATCCCCTTTGTCTTCTGAATTGCAGTTCCTCTCACTTAACCAAGAGCATGTATTCACTTTATTTTTACAATTTGACATATCTAGCTAGTAGATATCAGACTAATAGAATTAATATAGTGAAAACTCTAAAAGGCAAATAAAATCAATGTCAAGTCAATCTTAAATATAAAAAAGAACTTTTTAAACATAACCATTTTTCATTATCTGAACATTGTCATTCATCCTCTTTCACTACAAAACACATCCCTTGGGGCCAAGCAAAGTGGCTCAGACTGTCATTCCAGTGTAATCCCCAAGGCAGGGAGGACTGCTTGAGGCCCAGGGGTTTGCATCATGGGCAACATGGAGAAGCCCTGTCTCTATTAAATAAATAAATAACCTGGCATGATGATGCATTCCTAGCTACTCAGAATGCTGAAATGAGAGGATTTCTTGAGCTCAAGAGTTTGAGGTAACAGTGGGCTATCATTTCACCACTGTACTCCAGCTTCCAACCTGGTGACAGAGCGAGAACCTGTTTCTAAAAATAAATTTTTTGTTTTTTTGTTTTTTTGAGTTGGAGTCTCACTCTGTCACCAAGACTGGAGTGCAGTGGCCGCTTCCGGCCACCGCAGCCTCGACCTGCTGGGCTCCGGCGATCCTTCTGCCTCAGCCTTCCAAGTAGCCGGAATTACAGGCATGTGCTACCATGCCCGGCTGATTTTTTGATTTATTGTAGAGATGAGGTCTCGCGCCTAGGCGGGTCTCGAACCCGCGGGCTCAGGCAATCCACTCACCTCAGTCTCCCAGAGGTGCGGGATTACAGGCTGAGCCACCGAGCCCAGCGATAAAAATAAATTTTTAAAAATCCCTTGAAGAGGCCAGGTAGAACACCCTATGTATTTGTCACATTCCTGAACAACTAGAGAGGGAGTGAAAAAGAACTATCAAAGATTCTTAAGGTTTGTAGAAGAAATTTTTTAAAAAGGCAGACAACACTTATATTTTTGTTCTAGAGGTAAAACAGAGAAATAGCATTTAAGGAATTAAAATTAACCACCGTACTTTCTTTTGAAATTTTTTTCTAAAAATTTTTAAAGAAAGGGAGTCTCGCTATGTTTCCTAGGCTGTTCTCCAACTCCTCCTGCCACAGCCTTCCGGGCAGCTGGGTTTACAGGCATGTGCCACTGCGCCTGGCTTAATTACTGCATTAATATCATGCTTACTCCCAAAGTACAGTTATTTTTATAAAAGGTGCTGGACTTTTTTGTGGAATAAATACAGTATGCTAGCTAGCACAATAAACATTGTGTCTTCTGTGCTTTGTTATCCTCTTTGAATCGTAGGTTAGACATAATGCTTTCCAAGTCCAACGGGAGCTTCTCCTAGAGGCCCTCTTTCAGAAGTGGGACAGTGATTGCTCAGGCTTCCTAGATCTGAATGAAGTTGATGAACTGTTGTACACGTACAAGGATGGAATGGAAAAAGAATCTATGAAGAAAGGTAAAATGTAAAAATGTTCTTATTTAAATTGTGGTAACAGCCGGGCTCGGTGGCTCAGCCTGTAATCCCACGCCTTTGGGAGGCTGAGGTGAGTGGATTGCTTGAGCCCGCGGGTTCGAGACCCGCCTGGGCAACTTGGCGAGACCTCATCTCTACAATAAATCAAAAAATCAGCCGGGCGTGGTAGCACATGCCTGTAATTCTGACTACTTGGAAGGCTGAGGTGGAAGGATCGCCGGAGCCCAGCAGGTTGAGGCTGCGGTGGCCGGGAACGGTCACTGCACTCCAGTCTGGGCGACTGAGTGAGACTCCAACTCAAAAAAAAAAAAAAAATTTGTGGTAACATCTTGGCTTAAAGTTTCCTAGCATTACAACATATATATAGTTAAAGCAGTCAAAGCCATGAGATACTCCTTCATAGCTACCTGTATGACTAAAATTTTATTTTATTTATGTTTAATTTTTAAAAATAGAGATGGAGGTTTTGCTATGTTGCCCAGGCTAGACTCTAACTCTTGGGCTCTGGTGATCCTCCCGCCTCAGCCTCCCAAGTACAACTACAGGTGCCTGCAACTACAGGTGCCTGACACTGTACCCAGCTCTGGTTATAATTTTTAAAATGGAAAATAATAAGTCTTAGCAAGGATGTGAAAATATCGAAACCCTCATGCATTTGTCAGCATAATCAAGAATGGACTATGTTGCAGAGTGCTTTGTCTAGGATCTTAACTCTATATAGTTATATTCCTTCTGTGTACTCTCACACTAAGGTTAAAGTAATCCAAACCATTCTACAGCCCTGCCTGTTTTCTCTCTCTGGCTTCAGTATGTCTGATTCACCCCTTAAGTCTGACTGGTTTGCAAGTTTCTTTTCAATTTACTAACTTCTTATTTGCCTTAATGACTTTTTTATCTTCTGTATTATATTTTTCTCTTCAGATCAATATTTTCCATCAGAAGCTACTAAAATTCTCATTTTAGGATAATAAATTCCTTTTTTCAGTTTATTAGATCTTAATTTAAATGATTACTGCTGAGCTTCATTGGGCTTACTGAGTTATACCAGAACTGGACCCGGATTTTTATTTTTAAAGTATATAGTGCACAAGGGAAAGAATTGTCAAGGTTAGTTAGGATCTTCAGCCCTTTTAGAAATCATTGTATTGGTTGATCTTCAGATATACTTAAGCTTATCAGTTGCCATGCTCTCTTCAGTAACTATATCTTCTACAGACATTATGTTATACTACACTGCTTATTTTAGACTACATCCAAAGATAATTTATTTAATGAAATTTCAAAAGGCATGATTTGATTTCCACTGATAAGATGGGCAAATTTCATAACACAGACCCATGTTCTCCAGAGAACAACAGCTGGTTTCCAACACTGGGTCTTGATGAAATAGTCACATGATCTTTGGCAAGTTCCTTAAATTACTTAGACCTAGGTCTCCTTGTGTGTAAAATAAAGGAGTTAGATATGATGAATTATAGAATTTAAGGAACCTAAGGATAATGTTATAAGGAACTTCCACGTAATGGATTATATGGAATCCAATTTATATAGAATTATATGGAATCACATATGAGTGAAGTTCAGCAATAGGGATAGATAGAAGCATAAAATGTAAAGAGATAAGCCCAGCAAATGAGAAAGAGGAGAGTAATGAGGAGTCAGAACCTGCGCCAGGTAAAAATGTCTGTAAGCAAGAAGAACAAATATTCTCTCCAAGGGCAAGCTTATACAAAATAACTCAAGATAAACAAATATTTGTAGCCACCTGCTCTAAGGAGATGATTGCTGAGCCGATGGCAGTATAGAAGAAAAGCAGATCTAGCCTCTTTAAAAAGGAAGAAAATTCTAAATTCAAGCATCAGCTAATAAATGATTGACATATCTTCAAGCAATTATTTTGTATTTATTGTTTTGCTCTACTCTTCTGATCTCTTGTGACCAAGAGATTAAAAATTGGAATTCAAACAGCATAAAGTCACAGGATTAGAAGTTTTTAGAAATGGGGCTGCTGGTATCCTCAAAATGGAAGTTTGCTGCATGGAAGGGGAAACTTGAAGCTTTTAGCCTGTCATTTCCTCTTTTTGTTCTAGTCTAATACAGCCTTATCTTTTGAAATATTACAAATAAAAAACTGTAGAACATGTGACCTATTTACATTGTAGAATTCAATGGAATAAGTAATCATTTCTCTATTATTTCCCATGGAATAGCTATTAACATTATTGACTATGCCAATATTTAATTTAATTTTCTATTTACATGACAAATTTTGTTTTAATGTGTTAATTTCTATTTAAGTAGGACATTTAACTCATAAAATTAAAACATTTTGGAAACATTTATTTTGGTGATGTCAGCATGATGGCCAACTAGAAGCCCCTAGCATTTGTTCCATTCACAAAGACAGCCTGAGAGTGCCACCTTGCATCAGAGGAGTAACAGAAACCTAGTGAACTCAGAGACTCAGGATGGCAACTTAGAGAACAGGAAATGCTGGATCTCCACCACCCCATTCCTGTATCAAGATCAGTTGGGAACCAGGAGGGGCTTCTCCCTATGAAGAGGAGGTAAGCAAGAGGAACCCAGAAACCCCCATCACACCTTGGACACCCACAGACTTCACTACTGGGGTCCCCAGCAGTCTTCACTGGCACTAAACCCAGATGAGGGGGCTGTCTGGAAATGCCAAAGCTGTGCTCCTCCCCAGAGAAGAAGCCGACACTGTGTCCAGACCCCTGTGGTCCATGTCGCTACTGCACTATACCATCTTAGAAATGGAACTACTGTGTCTTGTTTCAAGAATGAGTAGTCATTACTCCTCTTCATCCCTTGAGGCTAGGCCACCACCAAATGACCACAACTCATTGGTCCAACATCCCCAAGCCAAGCTGTGAGCAGCTGTTACACCCTTCCACATGGGACCAAATGGAAGTAGAATTACTCCAACTACCCCTCCTCACCTCCTCTTGGGCCAGAGCTGAAGTGGCACACTGCCTCTTGGGAAAATAATTCCTTGGCCACTCAGAGCAGTCTTGACTTTCCAGTGCCTAAGTTGAAGCAGCATCCAAAGAAATGGTACCTTGGCAGTCCAGAATAGTCATGCCCCCTATTGCGGGGTCCCACCCCACAAGGTCGTGAGATCTCCTGAAGGAGAGACGGATAGGTGAAAGACGAAAATCATATACCGGGCACCTGCTTCTTGAACAGATGACAATTTAATGTTAGTTAACATAGAACTTTTATACCATTCGTAAAGGGGCAAGACAAAGAAAATTCCTTCACGTATATATGCTCTACAAGTTACCACCATCTAGTGGTCTTAGCAATAAACAAGCCAAGAACCCTGTAAACATTCAGACAATGAGTCTTATTCATAAGGTCAAAGATGATAGTTTTAGTCCAAAGTCCCGAATTACAGTCCTTGAACTGTCTCCAGAAAGCTTAGCAGTAGTTTTCCTTCTGGGGCTTTATGTCCTTCAGAGCTTGAGTAACTACCTCTGTTTCAATGGCTGCACATATTGCTGGTTGGCTCCCAACACCCTATCACTGAACTGAAGCAGCACATTGCCCCTGGGATTCAGTGCCCTGGGCTGAACTGATGTAGTAACTGATGTCTTAAGAAAACAGAGCAGTAGCTGAGTTGAGACACTCTGCCTTGAGATCCCCTCTCCCTGGGAAGTGGAGTCATCACTGTTCTGTTCCTTGTCCACCTCCAAAGGCCAAACAACAGCTGTACTCTGCATACTGAGGTATTTGCTGCCACTGCACCTGGCCTCACAGAATCTGGGATTCTGCTGAGCCCCGATATTCTAGGGCTTAGAGTCACTATTACATAGTGCTTCATTCCCTGGGACCTGAGTTGTCAATAAGCTTTATTAGCCCAGTTACCCAAATTGCAGTCATACCCTGCACCAGGGCCCAAACCTCCAAAATACCCTTTCTTCCCTGGAGTCAGGCAAGTACTATACCCTACTCCTCATGGTAGAATCACAGCTACAACCCAGCATCCTGTGCTCAAGCTGCTAGAGGGTTACCTCTGAGTCATAGATCCTGTCTCCTGTGGACAACCAACATCCAGCCCTGTCACAGACAGCAAACCTGCAACCAAAGACTCAGGTGCCACAGCAGATTTGTGTTACCTTGAGACTAGGACCACAGCCTCACAGCTGCTCTGAGCACACCTGTACCTGGAACCCAATGCCACTGAAGCTGCTTATAGGCCATGTCAAACCTGACACCAAGCAGGATCCTGTCAACTAAGTTTCCCCATTGTAGGGAAAATGAGAATAGGAGGATTCCAAAAACTCGTGATGTCAAGAACTGTAACAATCTATACTGTCATTGTTGCTGCAATAAACTTCTACAGCCTAGGCCACTGAAGCACCCATGAGTATTGCTGACATTGAACACAGCTGTATAAGCTATCCAGAGACATCACCTACTGGAAACAGAGTCATCACATCCTTCCCAGCCAGTACACTGAATCCCAAATGCAGGTGAAACTCTTTCTCTACAAAAGCCTCTCTAGAAAGTTTGGAAGAAATGATTGTTCCACCAGATATATAGATATCAATTCAGGAACAAAAGAAACATGGTAAAGCAAGGAAATATGACACCATCAAAGGAGCATAGTAATTCTCTACTTACAGACCCTGATGAAAAGGAAATCAATGAGTTTCCAAAAAAGGAATTCAGAATAATGATCTTAAGGAAACTCAGTTAGATACAAGAAAATGCAGGTAAACAATTCAACAAAATCAGGGAGACAATTCCCCATATGAATGAAAAGTTCAACAAAGAGATAGAAAACATATAAAAAGAAGCAAACAGAAATTCTACAGCTGAAGAATTCAGTGAATGAAACAAAAACTACAATAGAGAGCTTCAACAGCAGACTTAATCAAACAGAAGAAAGACTCTCTGAACTTGATCAGTTATTTGAAATGAACAGGTCGGGGGGGAAAAATAACAATGCAGAGGAG